CCAGCGGTTGAGTCAGATGCGCAGTCCAACTTGAGGGATTCACGACCCCGGTAAGGAACTCGAGCCAAACTTCTTCCCGACGCGCGTGCAACACTTTCCCTTTGCTTTGCTGAAACCACCGCTCCTACACGTCCTGCTTCTCCTCCTCCTCCTCCTCCTCCTCCTCCTCCTCCTCCTCCTCCTCCTCCTCCTCCTCCTCCCCCTCCCCCTCCCCCTCCCACTCCTCCTCCTCCTCCTCCTCCCCCTCCTCGTCCTCCTTCCTCCTCCTTCCTCCTTCCTCCTCCTCGTCATCATATTCCTGCCTCCACTTTCCTTCTCCCCATCGTCATCTCCCTCCTGCACGGCGGCGCCTGTGTAGTGTGAAGAATCCGGCGACACCAAATTGCGTCCCCTCTGGGGGCCGTAGACACGTGAAAAGTTGTGCCCCGCGCGCACGCCCCAGGCGCGTGCATGTTGGCCACCCCCTCCGCGCACATATTTTCACGTGTCAAGAATCCGACGCGCACACGTTGGGTCCCCTCTCCCTGGGGGCCGTGGACACGTAAAAGTACGTGCCCCGCGCGCACGCGCTAGGCGCATGTTGGACCCCACGTGTGAAGATTTCGGCGGGCTCACATTGGGGCCCCCTGGCGGCCGTGGATATGTAAAAATACGTGCCCCGCACAAGCGCCAGGCGCATGTTGGTTCTCCCCCCCCTCCGCGTACGTATTCGCCCGTGTGAAAAATCTGGCGGGCCCAAGTTGGGTCCCCCCCTGAGCGCACACATATTTTCACGTGTCAAGAATCCGACGCGCCCAAGTTGGGTCCCCCCCTGGGGGCCGTGGAGCCGTGAAAACACCTGCCCCGCGCGCACGTGCCAGTCGCATGCTGCCCCGCCTTCCGCGCATTCAGTTTCACGTGTGAAATATCCCGCGCGCCCAAGTTGATGCGTGAAAATAGGTTCCCCGCGCATAAGCGCCAGGCGCCTGTTGGGCCCCCCCCAGCGCCCGAGTTGGGTCCCCCCCCCGGGGGGCCGTGGACACATGACAGCACGTGCCCCGCGCGCACGCGCCAGGCGCATGTTGGGCCCCCCCCCTCCGCGGGCGTATTTTCACGTGTGCAGAACCCGGCGGGCTCGGTCGGGTCCCTCCCCTGCGGCCCCGTCGTGGCCAGAAACACATAAAAACGCGGGCCGAACGCACGCGTGCCGAGACACGTGTCGGAGCCCCCCCTCCTCCGCACGTGTACTTTTACGCGTCCACTTCCGACGCCTGCTGCTCGACATCCTTCTGGTGGAGAGAGCCTTTGACCCGCGAGCTAAAACAGAACCCCGGGTCGGAGCCCTCCCCGGGGACAACATGCTCCCCTCGGCTCTCCTCCGCCTCATCCCTCCCCTTCTCCTCCCCCCCCGCCCCCACTGTTTGGATAGCAGGGCCCGGCCAAGGGCTCTGGGACAGCCGTGGCCCCCCCAGGCCGCCGGGGAGGCCGATGCCGCCAGGTGGGCGGGGAGGTCGACGCCGCCAGATGGGCGGGCGACCCTCCCAAGGTCCGCCAGAGGTGGGTCCCCTTTGTCGGGGCTCAGGGTGCCCCCCCCCCGGCCCCCCCGCAGTCGCAGGCCAGAGAGTTCTCAGACGCCGCCTCCGCACCGAGAGCGAACGTCTGTCGCCTGTGCTGTGGATGGCCTCTGGAGCCTCACGCGTGCCTGGCGATCGTCTAGGTCTCGCTCTTGTTGGTGGCCTCTGGAGCCTCGTTGTGGTTTCAGTGCCCGTCCCCCCGGTGAGACGGAGCCCGCTGTGAAAGCATCTGGCCTGCAGCATCCTATCCCATGCTGCACCCCTCCGACTGCAGCTTGCATGTCGGGCACTTGCCCAGATATTCGACCGACCGTCCTCCTCCTGGCCTCCCCCTCCTCCCTTATGGAAAAAGAAAAAACGCCATAAGCACAAACTTTTGGCGCTCCGCGCGGAATACTTGGATCTGCGCTGGAGCCCCCTCCCTAGCGCGCGGAGCGCGCCAGGGGCGGCGCCGCAGGCGCCGCTGGGGGGGGCCCGGCCGGGCCCCCCCCCCCCCCCCCCCCAGCGCGGATCCAAGAATTCCGCGCGGAGCGCCAACAGTTTATGTTCATGGCGTTTTTTCTTCCCCGATCCCTCCTCCCTCCTCCGCATCCTCGCGTGAGCCCCCGGGGGAACGACTGGAGCAGGGCGCCCCGGTCCGCTGGCCGCGGCGCCGCCTCCTCCGCCGCCTCGCCGTCGCTGGCGGGGCCCCCGTCGGCCTCGGGGGGGGCGGGGAGCTCCAGCCCGCGCTCCTCGAGCACGAGCTCTCGGAGGTCCGCGCGGGCGGCGCTGCGGGGTCGAGCTCGGTTTGCGGTGGGTGGGTCCGCACGGCGTCGCGCAGCGAAGCGGTCCTCCTCGGCGCGCGCCGAGTGCAGCTCGGCGCGCGCCGAGTGCAGCTCGGCGCCGCAGGGGCCAGAGGAGCAATAACAGTTGCATAAACACAGAGAGCAGACAGGTGCGACCACGGGATCAGGCATCTCGCCGTAAGAAATCTAGGGGCACGTTTGTCGACGGTCTCTGAGCTTCCTGGGGTGCCCCGAGGCCCTTGCGGGACCCCAAGGCCATCGAGGGATAAAAGATCTATGTGGGGCACCTGCTGGTGGGCCGGCTTCTTATTCGATGCACCTACAGCAAGCTGTCGAGAGCCCACGCAGACTTCCCCTCCCTGGCGCGCGGAGCGCGCCAAGGACGGCACCAGAGGTGCCTCGGGGGTCAAGCGCCGATGCCAGAGAAACCCGCGCGGGACCTCCGACAATTTGCTTTTTTTCTCTGTCCTCCGCTGGCACCACAGTGCGCATGCAAGGTCAATGGATGAGTCCGTGTTACGACGCCAGAAGCTCGTAACGCCCCCGGGGGCCTTTGCCTAAAAGTTTGCTTGTTGTGCTGGATGCCTCCTCCTCGGTGCGCGGAGGAGTGAGCCCATGCAAGAGTTGCCTCAGGCGCGCGGCCTGCCGATCGTTGAGCGCGGTGCGACGGCGTCGGTGCGCGTCAGCTGACCACACCCACGTCGGTCAAAAAAATGAGAATCATCCAATATATATATATATATATATATATATATGTTTGGCTATCTTTTAATATTCCTCCTGTAGAGGGACACGCCCGACGAGGCCAGGCCCTTCCTGTGCCCAGGATTGTTCTTAGGGGCAGATGCACCGATCCCGGACCCAGGATCAGCCTGGCCATGGGGTGGTGGACAGTGGACGTTCCCCGAGCAGCAACAGAAGCCTGCGAGCTATGGGCTTTGCCCCCCCCCCCCCCCCCCTCTCGCGCCCTCCTAAGGCCGCACACGAAATGCCACTCTGGCGAAACGCCGCTCGTACGGTTCGTGTTTTCTGCCCGCGTGTGTGTGATGTAAATGTATGTATGCATGCACGTATGTATGCATGCATGTATACATGTATGTATGTACGTATGACTGTCTGTCTGTCTGCCTGTCTGTCTGTCTGTCTCTGTCTGTCTCTGTCTGTCTGTCTGTCTGTCTGCCTGCCTGCCTGCCTGTCTGTCTGTCTGTCTGTCTGTCTGTCTGTCTGTCTGTCTGTCTGTCTGTCTGTCTGTATGAGTGTATGCATGATTGAACGTATGCATGTATGTATACATATATTCCTCTTCGAATATTCTTATAGCGGAAAACCCTCCCTGACCCTCTGCCCCCCCCGTACATAATTTCGGCCCTGGGCGCTCCCACCGACGTCAAATTCGATTTTCGGTTTCGGGAGCTTCTCCCGGCCATCCCCGGACGGTCCCGCAAAGCCCCAAGGCGGCCCAAGACCGCTCCAGAACGGCTCATGAGCGTTCAAAGAGGCCTCAAGGTGGCTTCAAGACGGCCGAAGATGCTCTCAAGACGCCCGAACAGGCCCCCAAGAAGACCCCCAAGAGGTCAAAATCGCCCCATTCCCTTCGGAAAACGTACATGTTTAGCATATCCGCTTCGTTGGCCTTCATCGCGTCCAAGACGGCCCAAGAGGCCCCCAAGATCGCCCCAAGACGGCCCAAGAAGTCCCCAAGGGAGCCCCAAGACAGCCCCAAAGGGCTCCAAAACGACCCAAGAGAGCCCCAAGACGGCCCCAAAGAGCACCAAAAGGCTTCCCAGAGAGCCCCAAGAAGGCCGCAGGAGGCCCCCAAGAAGAACCAAGAGGGCCCCAAGACGGCCCAAGCCCCCCAGGACGGCCCAAGAGGGTCCCAGGACGGCCTAGGAGGGCCGCTACACAGCCCAAAAGAGCTTCAAAAGAAGCCCCACGGGAGCCCCGAGAGGCCATACCCCTATCAGCCATATGAGGCCTCTCGCCCCCACAAGCCCTACGACCACTATGGTGCCTCATGGTGTCCCATTAGCCCTGTGAGGCCTGGGAGCCCTATGAGCTTTATGAGCCCTATGAGCCCTATGAGCCCGTCGACCCCTATGAGCCCATGAGCCCTATGAGCCATATGAGCCCTACTAGCCTTATGAGCCCTATGAGCCCTATGAGCCCTATGAGCCCCATGAGCCTTATGAGCCCTATGAGCCCTATGAGCCCTATGAGCCCTATGAACCCCATGAGCCCTATGAGCCCTATGAGCCCTATAAGCCCAATGAGCCCTATGGGCCCCATGGGCCCCATGAGCCCTATGAGCCCTATGATCCCTATGAGCCCTGGGAGCTTTATGAGCCCCATGGGCTCTATGGGGTCTATGAAACTAATGAGCTCAATGAGCCCTTTAAGCCCCACGAACCCATGAGCCACATGAGCCCTATGAGCCCTACGACCTCCACGAATCCTATTACTCCAATGAGCCCTAGGAGCCCAATGAGCCTTAAGAGCCCTACGAGCCCATGAGCTCTCCGAGCTCCATGAGCCCCATAAGCCTGATGAGCCCTTTGAGGCCTATGAGCACTAGAAGCCCCATGACCATTATGAGCTCACGAGCCCCAGGAGCCCCATGAACTCAATGAGCCAAGCCCCATACCCCCCGACCCTCCATGACACCATATGAGCGCGATGACCCCTGTGAGGCCTATGCGCCCTATGAGCCCTAGAACCCCCTCAGCACTAGGAGCCGTGAAGCCTTGCGAGACCCATGAGACCTCCCTCTGAGCCCTACGTTCCCAGTGAGCCGTATACGGCCTATGGGCCCTCTGAGCCCTACAAGGCCTACGCGTTCTGTTAGCGATATGGGCATTATGGCCCCCCGGAGCATTGCGAGCTCTATGAGCCCAATGGCCCCCAAGAGCTGATGACCCCAGGGAGCCCCAGGACCCTCATAAGCACCATGAGCCTCCTGTGACCCCCATGACCTCTGTAAAAGCCACTCAGCACTATAAGCCCCGTGCCCGATGAGCACAAACAGTCCCATGACCCCAACGAACCCCATGAGCCCTGTGAACCCTGTGAGTCTCATGACCACCTGGAGCCGCATCGGCAGCATTACCCCTCGCCTAAAATGGGGGCTCCGAGCCCTTGGGCCCCGTGACGACAAAGACCCCTTCTGAGCTCTTTGAGCCGCAATATACTCCCTGGGTCCTATCAGCCCTGCTTGCTCCATGGTCTCCATGGCCAGAACACACCGCGGCTGTGACGACAACCGATCTCATCGCGCCTCCCTGGCGCCATGCGACCAAGATTTTAAAGGCGAAGCGCAGCGAGCCGGTACAATCTCGTGCATGTATATATATACATATATATATGTAGGCAGGTAGACAGGACGATATGTATATATGCATGTATGTATGTAGGCATGTGTATGTATGCATGTATGTGTATATCTACATACGTCTGTCTATATCCATGTGTGTATGCAAGTATGTGTGAGCATGCAGAATAAGACTATGTGTGTATGCAGGTATGTATGTGAGCATGCATGCGTGTATGTGTGTACGCATGTAGGTGTGTATGTATGTATGTCTATGTGTATGTGTGTATGTGCCTGTATGACTGTATGTATAAACGCATGTCTGTATGTTTGTATTTCTGTATGTATGCATGTATATGTGCATGTATGTACGCGTGCATGGAGGCATGTATGTATGCAGGTCGGTATGTATGTATGTATGTATATATGTATGTATGTATGTATGTATGTATGTATGTATGTATGTATGTATGTATGTGTGTGTCTGTATGCATGCATGTATGCATGTATGCGCGCATGTAGGTAGGAGGGTAGGTAGGTAGGTCCGTAGGTATGTATGCATGCATGTGTGTGTTTGCATGCATGTGTGTATGTACGTATGTATGTAAGTAGGTGTGTATGCCTGCAGGATGATGTATGCGAATGCTTATGTTTGTAGTTATGCATTCATGTATGCATGCATGCACGAATGTACGCATGCATGCATGTATGTGTGTATGTATGCATGTCGGTGTGTATGTATGTACGTATGTATATATGTATGTTTGCTTGTATGTAGTTATGTAAGTGTGTGTGTATGTATGCGTGCATGGATGTATGTATGTGTTGAGGTCAGTGTGTGTATGTATGTATGCATGTGTGTATGAAGGTAGGAGGGTAGGTAGGTCGGTTGATATGTATGTGTGTATGTGTATGCATGTGTGCGCCTGTATGTATGTATGCATGTTTGTACGTGTGTGCATGCATGTATGATTATTTATGTTTCTGAATATGGATGTGTGTGAATGCATGTATGTGTATATATGCATACATGCATGCATGCATGTATGTCGGTATGTATGTACGTGTGCTTACATATATGTGTGCATGTAGATTTGTGCATGCATGTATGTACATACATACGTTTGCATTCATGCACGTATGTGAATATGTATGCCTGTGCATATATGCATGTCTATGTATGTATGTATGTACATACGTATGTATGTATGTATGTATGTACGTATGTATGTATGTATGTATGTATGCATGCATGCATGCATGCATGCATGCATGTATGTGTGTATGTATGTATGTATGTGTGTATGTATGTATGTCTGTCTGTCTGTCTGTATGTCTGTATGTATGTATGTATGTATGTATGTATGTATGTATGTATGTATGTATGTATGTAGGTCGGTATGTATGTATGTATGTATGCATGCATGCATGTATGTACGTACGCATGCATGCATATGAATGGACAACTATGCGTACAAAAACGCTCACATGACAAAAAGCCTGGCATTATGTTGACCATTCGGGTTCGGAGCGGCACCGTGCCCCCTCGAACGGCCGCCCCCGTCACACCAACCGCCCCCGGTGCGCGCCGCCGAGCGGGGGCGGCACGAGCACCCCGCAGCGCTTCGGAGAAGGGAGGCCAGCCACCTCGAGACGACGACGACGACGACGACGACGACGACGACGACGACGACGACGACGACGACGACGCGACGTCGCTTCCAAGGGCCAACGACAGCACCCGCAGGCCGCCAGTGGCCGCCGATGGCCACGCGGCGCCGCGGCGGCGCGCCTCGGGGCTGCTCGGGGCATCCGCGGCGGGGTCGCCCGCAGCGTCGGCGGCGGCGGGACCCGCGTCCTCGGCGGCGGCGGGCGGGCCGCGGGCCGCCCGCCCCGCCCGGGCAGGCCGCGCCAGGGCCGCCGTCGTCTCCGCCGGTCGCCGTCGCCGGCGCGGGCGCCGCCGCCGCGGTGCGCGGTCGCCGCCGCGGTCGGCATCGCCGCCGCCGTCCCCGTCCCCTGGGCCCGGCTGTGGATCGAGGGGCAGCAGGAGGGGCGGGGGGAGGGGGGAGACGGGGTGGGGGGACTGTGGTGCGATGGGTTCGAGGGGCTGGAGGGGGGGAATCCCTCGTATCCCAAGGTCTCTCCGACGGCGGCAGCCGACGCCCGCTGGAGGGTTGGGCCACTCACTGGAAGGCACGCACCACTGGCGAAGCTGTCCCACTGGCGAGGATTGTACTTAGGACGGGTCCTCCTCCTCCTCCTCCTCCTCCTCCTCCTCCTCCTCCTCAGGTTCCTCATCGTCTTCATCTTAATAATCTCCGACAGACGAGGTGTCAGCGAAAGAAGAACGCCTCCGTGGAACGGAGGAGGTGGCGGTGATCCTCCTCTTCCTCCTCTCGTGGAACGGAGGAGGTGGCGGTGATCCTCCTCCTCCTCCTCCTCCTCCTTTTCCTCCTCCTTTTGTTCCTCCTTCTCCTCCTGTTCCTCCTCCTCCTGGTGCTCCTCCTCCTCCTGGTGCTCCTCCTCCTCCTCCTCCTCCTCCTCTTCTCCTCCTCCTCCTCCATCCCTTTTCTTTATAAATAATTCCCCCATGTCTCACCCCGGGACGTGTCGGTAGAGCGGGCGGGGCGTGCCGCCTGAGATTTTCTCACCGCTAAGGATCCTTCAGCTGCAAATTCGCAAGAGTTTCACGGATGGAGTGCGGGTGGTTTTCGAAATGTGGTTCTCGCCTTAACACCGCTCACACGCGCCGTGAAAGTTTACAGGAGCTTCACGGATGGAGGGCAGGTGGTTTTCAAACTGTGACTCTCACCTCAGCGCCGCGCACATTAGTTTAAACGTTTGCAACAGTTGTATGGATGGAGGGTGGGTGGCGTTTAAACTGAGGCTCTCTCCGTGGCACCGCGCACATTCGTCTTTTAAAAAGTTCGTAGGGGCTTCACTGACGGAGGGCTATACCTTTTCAAACGTTGTCTCGCATTAGCGCCGCGCATATTCGACTTCAGAGTTTGCAGCAAGAGCTTCACGGACGGAGGGCGGCACATCTTCAAAATGTGGTTCTCGCCGTAACGCCGCGCACATTCGTCTCAAGAGCTTACACCAGCTGAAACAATGTTATTACTGACGTTCCAGACGTGGCGTTTTGGCATGATGTAGGAGGGTCAGGGCGCAACAGTTACGTTGATTCGCGGCGTTGACATCCCAGGAAGGGCGTTCTGGCATGATCCAGGATCGTCGAGACGCGAACACAATGTTGATTCGCAGCCTTGGCGGCCCAGGAAAGGTGTTCGGGCACGGTTCAGGATTTTCAGACGGCTGTGTTCCAACGGATCGCTTTCCTCGGTGAAAATGAATCCTTGTAGGGACCTTTGAGGAGGGAACTTGGAGGGAGGGTTTATTGCAACCTAGATGGCTCGCATTTGGTTTACACTGGTCCTCCTCCTCCTCCTTCACTTCCTCCTCCTCTTCCTCCTGCTCCTCCTCCTCCTCCTCCTCCTCCTCCTCCTCCGCCTCCTCCTCCTCCTCCGCCCCCTCCCTCTGACCAGGACTTCGACTTGAACCAAGCCGCGGCGACGAAGACCTCCAAGGGGCCTCCAGAAGGGCGACGACGCCTGCTGTGCCGAGCTGAGGTTGCTGCGGACAGCGCCTGCGAAACGCAGCTCGCTCTGCGAAGCCCTTGGCCCCCGCCATGGCTGGCCAGCACCTCTCTCCAGTGGGCCCCTGGCCAGGCTGCCGCGCCCAGCGCCCTTGCTGGCCCTGCCGGGCAAGGCACAAGGGGTGCGAGGCAGGGATTTATCCATATCCACCGCCTGGGAACCGACGTCCTGGTGCTCCAACGGGCGGTGGTCATGTGTAACTTCCCGCCTCGGACAAGGGGGCCCCCACGGGGGGCGTTCTCGCGCGAGCGCTGCATCGCGGGGGCCGCGCACGACGCGCCCGCGCGGCCCTTTCCCCGAGCGCGCGCGCTGGACGCTTCCCCAACGCGAGATCTACAGCAGGGTCAAGGGGTGAGCTGCGATCCCTGCCGAGGGACGGCCCAGCGGGGGCAGCCAGGTCGCGCCCCACTGGCGACAGACGGGCCTCCGCCCCCGCCTCGTCCCCCTTGCGGCGCCACCCAGGGCGGCGGCTCGATTCGGCGGGGCCGGCTTGTTGGGCGCGCTGGCGTCCGCTTCGACGCGTCGCGGTCACATGATTCCCGTCGAGTCCCGAGGCGCCACAGCCCAAACGGGGGCACCCTCGCCCGACGGCGTTTGCCCCGCGTCCTCCCGAGATGTTTTCCCAGCGCGTTGACCGCGCTGTGCACGCGCGGGCGAGGGCGCTCCAGCGGCAAGCGTTGTTTGCCGCGGGGCCCGCGCCGGCGCGCGCCCCTCTCGCTCTGCGACTGTTAAGTTGCCGGCGCCGCACGCGGGCGCGCGCGATCCAGCAGCCAGGAATTTTTGCCGCGGGGCTCGCGCCAGCGAGCGCATTCTTGATCAGCGCCAATCCGGTTTCCACGCCCAGGGGCAGGCACGCCGGCGGCACATGTCATCTCCCCGGGCGCGCGCGCCTCTCTCGACGACGCCGACCGGTCTTTGGCGCTGTTTGCGACGGCGCCTCCGGATGCGGGCGGGTGGGTTCTGAACCCGTCTGTGGTGCCCCACCCCACCCCCTGGCTGGTCTCGCCGCGCGCCTGCTTCGCGGCGCTGGCGCGGCGCCGGCCGCCCCTCTTCCCCTTACCCATCCGACCAATCCCGCGAGGCCCTGGCCTGACCTGAGGGCCTCCAAGGGGAGGGCTGCCCGTTCTATCGCGCGCGCGCGCTGCTTTTTGCGGGGGGGCGCGCACGACGCGCCCGCGCGCGGAGCGCATTTGTCCAGCACAGTGAGATCAAGGGCTGAGCTGCGATCCCTGCGTAGGGACGACCCAGCGGGGGGCAGCCAGTCCTCGCCCCTCCGGGGGCAAACGGGCCCTCGCCATTTGACATGCTGGGCCGTTCGCCGCTGTCTGCATTCGGCCTTCTCGCGCGCCAGATGGCCCTGCCTTTAAGAGCTTCGCTCCACCTCAGCCGCAGTCCTGCCTCATGTCTGCGCGGCGAAGAAGCCGACGACGACGACGACGACGACGACGACGACGACGACGACGACGACGACGACGACGACGGCTCCGCTGTCTGCTTGCAGCGGCGTGGGGGCCGGCGCGAGACCGTCAGCGCCGTTGCTGCAGTGCCGCGCAGCGCCGGCAATCAAGCGTCCACGGCCAGGTCACGGCCAGGCATGACGGTGACACCGGGTCTCCCTGCAAGGTGCTGCTGCGCTGCGAGGCAGAGGTACCGCGCCAGCTCTCTGTGCAAGCGCGTGGCCTTGGCGATGCTGCCCCAGCGCCACGGATGGGTCCAGCCGACCACGCAGGCTGCCGCGCTGCGCTGCGGTGGTGTTGCGGGGCTCCGCGCTTCGGTCCGCGCCGCCGGCAAGCCGTCACCGCTGCCGCTGTAGGGGAACGGTCGCAGCGTCGCGGCGCAGCGCAAGGGCGGCGGCCCGATGGCTTGCGCCCCACCAGCAGGCAGCGCGGTGCGCCAGCCGCTTTCCTCCCCATAGAGAGGCCCACGGCGGCGCCGCTTCGGCGCCAGGCGCATCGCGTGCAAAAGAATGCAACAGAAAATCCGCGGGAGTGGCATCGCGTGATTCGTTTTCTGGAGCTTTCTGTGGTGCCCCACCCGGCCAGTCCCGCAGCACAACTGTTCCACGGCGCTGGCGCGGCCAGCCGACCCAACCAGTCCCGCGAGGCCCTGGGCGACCTGACCCCGCCCAAAGCCAGGGCTAGCGAAATAGTGTCTTCCTCGTGGCGGGCCTCTCGGTGTTCCCTCGTCTCCAGTTCGCTCGCGCTTACTCGTCGCCAGCTTTCAGGGTCCATGGCCTTGCTGCCACACGTTAGGCCCGCCGACTTCTCCTCCTCCTCCTCCTCCTCCTCCTCCTCCTCCTCCTCCTCCTCCTCCTCCTCCTCCTCCTCTGCTTTCTCCTCATCCTCCTTCTTGTATGTTCCCCAATCAGAGCTTGCCTCTGTAGGGGTCCTAGCAGATTCATTCCCCAATCAGAGCTTGCCTCTGTAGGGGCCCTAGCGGATTCATATGGTTAGGTTAGGTTTGTCGCCGATTTTCGCTGCACGCCCGGGTGCCTGGAAGCCTGGGGGTGCGGGGCCCGGGTGCCCGGGGGGGGCCCGGGGGGGCCCGGGTGCCCGGGTGCCCGGGCGTGCCCGGGCGTGCCCGGGGGTGCCCGGGGGTGCCCTATAGCCCCATAGCCCTAAGCCCTATAGCCCTATAGCCCAATAGCCTAATAGCCCTATAGCCCCATAGCCCTACAACTCTATAGCCCTATAGCTCTATAGCCCTGTAGCTCAATAGCTCTATAGCCCGATAGCCCCCAAGCCCTATAGCCCTGATTGGGGTTTTTCTCCTGTATCATACGGTTCGGTTAGGTTTGTAGCCGATTTTCGCTGCACGCCCCGGTGCCCGGGTGCCCGGGGGTGCCCGGGGCCCGGGTGCCCGGGGGGGGCCTGGGGGGGCCGGGGCCCGGGCGGGCGTGCCCGGGGGTGCCCGGGGGTGCCCTATTGCCCTATAGCCCTAAGCCCTATAGCCCTATAGCCCTATGGCCCAATAGCCCAATAGCCCTATAGCCCTACAACTCTATAGCACTATAGCTCTATAGCCCTATAACTCAATAGCCCCCTAGCCCTATAGCCCTGATTGGGTTTTCTCCAGCATCATATGTTTATTCTCCTTCTGTATATCGTAATTGTCCTTATGATAATGGTTGTTATTCGTATTCGTATTGTGTATTATTCGTAATGGCAGTATAATATTCCTTACCATTCCTGTTATTGCGATT